AAATTAAGAAAGAGTCTTTAATAATCCTTCTTCACTTTCCTTTCTTAGCCTTAGCTTAAGTTGATACTCCTTTGAATGGAATGCCCTAAATGGGTTTCCATCATAAAGACACTTAGGGCAAGCAAGAGAAGAGGGGAGAATAAGTATTGCATCGCGCTCTGATAACGGTTGAAAAATCGTTATTTTTATACTTCATTTTGATATTAAAAACACCATTTTTGACTTAGAAGCTTGCTTGAACTCATGTTTTTGCTTTAGCTTTGTGAAGGCTTAATAGCCTCTTTTGTCCCCATTTTTGCTCGATTGTGTCAATTTGGTCCCTGGTTTTAAAAAAGTGTCAACTTGGTCCTCACTTATTAAATTTTGCATCAAAATTGTCCTTTCCATTAAATAGAAACAAACGACGTTAAGGATGGATGATCTGGCAGAAGAAATGGCATTTTTAAATTGTGTGCATGGTGACGTGTTTAGTATTTTCTTTAATTATAATTAATTTTGATTAATGTTTTTCTTTTAATTACTTTTAATTATAATTAACGTGACAGTTAGCAATGGCGTCCCACTCCTCATATCAAATCTTCTTTTTCTTCCAAAAATAGTGTTGTAGTTAGTAATGGATAATCGACAATGGCGTCCTACTCCTCCACCGAATATTTGCCCCACTTACTCTCTCTCTCACTTCTCCTTCTGCCCTGCTCCGCCTCCCACACCCCCACCCCTCAAACCCCTCTTTCTTACACCCCCGCCAACCCAAATTTCCAAATGGCTGCGTTGCGATTTATCCATGGTTGTTCTGGTTTGGTTCTCTTGCCTTGTAGGTCTGAGGAGGCATGATGTTGATGCGCGATGAGGATGCTCGCGGTGGGGATGGTTTCTATGTGATTAGGGTTCTGCAATGTGGGGCTCTTTTTGATTGGGGTTTTGGGGCTGGTTGCGTTTCCTTACAGGTTTCGAAGGAGAAGAAGTACTGAACTCGTGATGAATCTGGTGCTTTTGGAATGGACGAAGCTCGCGTGGTGGAGGCGCAATCTGGGTTTCGTATATGGGTTGTTGTTTATTGGATTGAGGTTGATGCATGTCAAGACACAAAGGATGATGGAGATGGCATGGAGGAGATTGGAGTTTTCACGGTAGAGAATGGAGGAGAAGATTAACTTTCTCGGGTTCTCTCTATTGTCGCGATTTGGGTGGCTGATGGAAGAACGAAAGAATTCTCGGTGGTCCGAGATTCCTTGAGGTGGTGCGTCAATGGAGGTGATGCGATTCACTGTGGTTGATGGACGATGCTGGTTGTGTTCTTGAGTGTGGTTGAGGTGCCGCTGTCGAGATCGGTGGAGAAGAGACCTTCATTTTTTATTTCCACTATGACGGAGACCTCTTTGATTACAAGGCTTACTCTCATTTTCTACACTCTGTGGACTCTTTCTTGCTTTCGCGTGATAGAGACCAACCCCTGCATAGATTTCGCCTCAGATCTGACTCTACCTATGGTCATCCTGTAAGTATCCAGACATGGATTACGGCTTAGTGGAAGCGTTCGACACCTCGACCTCCATTTGGATTGGGGCTTTGTCATGCCTTCTGTGGCGTTTAGCTACAACACTTTTGTAGTTCTCAACTTGAATTTCATACAAGTGGAAAATACTTTCTCTGTTGACTTGCCCTTGCTTAAGATCTTGCATTTGAATAATATTTCTTCACCCGAAGGTCCAGATCTTTCACAGCTTCTCTTTGGGTGTCCTAATATTGAGGACTTGGAAGTCAAAGGTTCCTTTCTACAACTAAAGGGAAGTTTATCAGATTGCCCAAATTGGTTAGAGCCAGCATCCATGAAGATTTACTTCCATTGGAAGTTGTTAAGGATGTTTAAGTTTTGTTCTTGGATTTGGTAATGCTCTGATATTTGTTTGATATTACTTTCCATTTCAAAGGGAAAAAGAGGGGATTTCTTATGTTCTGATATCATTTTGTATCTCTTACAGAAATATCAACAAATCCTGGATTTTGACTTTCAGAATTTAGTTCGACTTGAATTGATTTTACAGCTTAGCAAGGATTGGCTTGGGGTCTTGGAAGTGCTTGAGCATTGTCCCAAACTTCAAACCCTTCTCGTTCGCATTTATAAGGTTTAATGATTTAAGCTTTTCAATTATGATTTTTTTTTTATCTTTTCTTCAAACATTAGTGTTAATTTAATTTTTTTTATTGTTGTTATCAGAGCAGTTTTGATACATTTTTGGCAGGCCAAGAAGAAGTAATTTGGCCATTCCCACAATCTGTTCCTGCTTGCATTTCATCACACCTTAAAACCTGTTCTCTTAAATATTACAGTGGTTCTATTGTCGCTGATGAAGGTGGAGAAGAGACCTTCATTTTTGAAAAATATAAAAACAAACCCTAGAGAAAAGAGGGTTTGGGCCTGGCCTAGAAAATACCAAGTGTACTCCTAAATTCCATCTCTGTACTCATTCTCTAACACATCAACATAAACATATCTACAAAATGCCACATCTTCTACCAAATCATCCATCCTTATCGCCGTTTGTTTCTATTTAACGGAAGGGACAATTTTGATGCAAAATTTAATAAGTGAGGACCAAGTTGACACTTTTTTAAAACCACGAACCAAATTGACACAATTGAGCAAAACTGGGGACAAAAGAGGCTATTAAGCCTTTTGTGAATAAGAGAGCTGAAGGTGAATTTAATGGTTTTGTGTTAAATTCCCTTGATTTTGTAGGCTATTGGAATGATTTGAAAGAAGAGTTAAAGTACCAAATGATTGAAATGCAGAAAGTCAACCAGAATGCAGAAAAGTCAATAAATAACCAAAGTGCAGAAAAGTCAACCAGAGTGTAGAAAAAGTTACGCTGAGCGTCAAATTCCTCCGAGCGCTAGTGCCGCACTTACCGCTGAGCACCGACGACGTGGGCTTGGACCTGTTTTCTGTTATTTTTATGGGCTTGGACCTGTTTTCTATTATTTTTATGTTCTATTTAAGGACTTGCACATCCTAGAGATTGTATCTTTTGATGGCTTGAGTACAGAAACACATTTTTCACCCCTTGGGGGTAGATTTGGAGATGGTGATGACTCTCCTCTTCTCTTTCTAGGGTTTTTCTATCTCTTCCATTCTTTCATTCCATTGCTCATCTAGTTCTTCCATGACGATGGAGAACTAAACCTTATTTGTTGTTGGGAAAGATGTAACCTCTTAAACTCTCGTGTATTGAATTGATTCTTGATTATATATGTTTTACTCTTTGCATGCTTTGTTTAACTCATTCAATTGCATGATCTTTGATTTTGTCGATAGGGACACATACGGGGAAATCTAGAACTGGGGAAATTCTCCCGTAAGCAATATTACCTAGACATAGGAATAGGAGGATCGGTTGCCTTTATGCTTCTGTGCGAATGTAATGCACGATTAATTGCTAGGGAGACAAGACATTGTGAACTAGTAATTAGGAGTAGGCTTTCTTCACCGAGACATCGGGTTTAAGGTAAATTAGAAAGTGGCATTAACATTAATGAAGAAGATGAATTCATATATGCATGAGAGTAAATTACGTGAAATCTAAACCCAACAACAATATCATCAACTTCATCCATTCATTCTTGTGTTTAGCCTCAATTGATCAAATTGCATTCATGTTTATTTTATTGCATTTGCATTCAAAACCCCAAAATTTTTTCTTTAGAGTCTTAATTAGTTGAGTAATCACATAACTGTTTAGTGTCGTGAGTCTCTTGGGAAACGATACTTGGTCTTATCATTTATTATTAGTTGATACGATTCGGTACACTTGTCGAGGTCTTAACAAGTTTTTGACTCCGTTTTCGGGGATTAAAAATTTGTTTATCAATGTTGCAGGAGGTACACATGATACTGACCAACAAGCACCTATAGTGGAGAACAAAGGTGCTCGCATACACAAAAGCTTGAATATCAATAGGCACCGGCTGAATCCACTTATCAACAATTACTTCTTCTTAGATCCAGTTGTGGAAGACATTTCCCTGCTTGATTAGATTTGGAGGATGAAGCAGTTCCTCCTCAAAACTTCTTTGTTGGATCCTGTGGTAGAAAACGTCTCCCTACTAGTCCAAAATTGGCAACTTCCACCATAACTTAGGGGAGTTTTCTTTTCTCTTCTCCCCCTTTTCCCTACTTTTATTGCACTTGTCCATGATTTGTTCACTGTTCTGACTTCTGATCTTATGCTTATGACACATTGAGGACACTATGTATTTTAAGTGTGGTCTATTGGGGGAGATTCTGATTTTTCTTTGTTAGTTTTTGTTTTCTTTGTTAAATGTTTTCTATTGTAGGTTGTTTTTGTTGTGTCTTGTGTACAGTTGTGCATGTTCTCTTGATTTCTGGACTTTGTTTAGGTTGTAGATGTGTCCTTCACTTCACTTCATTGATACTCTGATTGGTTTGAAATCCTTGCTTTTCTATGATTGGAAGATGATCATGATGTTTGAGAGGGTGATTGATTGTGATAGAAATACCTTGTGTGAGAATTTAACCACTTGATATTCTTTCTTGTGTGTGATATGTCTCTTGATTGTTTGCACATATGCCTTGGCTTGACTCTTGATGATAATTCTTGATTGATATGTGATAGGCTGTCGTTGAAGCTATCAAATTAATACTACTTTTCAAGGCAACTTCAGTATTGCCAAGTAGTATTTAAGAAAGTAGATAGGGTTTATGTAACCCTGAGTCGTCTCCCAATGAACACGGAATTGCTTTTGAATATCTTTGACTCTTACGAATGCTATGCAATGCTTATGAATTAAAGTAATGGTTGAAGAGTGTTTTATGAATAAATAAGAAACTTAAAAACAGTTACGATGAAATAGGCTAATTCCACTGCTTTTCCAAGATAGATTCATCATCGGTTATTCACGGATAATTGTTCAATTGATTATTGTTTAAGTTTCAAATTAATTAAAGTACATTCTTAATTAATTCGAGGGCGATCATGCATTTAACCAAAGTAAATTCTCAATCAAATGCAAAACATTTCTAGATTATTCACAAAAAATTCAACCAAAGTACATTCTCAATCAAATTCTATTGTGTTTAATCATGTCTATTCTTAAATCTCCTAACC